CTAGTTTTAATTTCTATTATGGCAAATAAAAACAGATAAAACCCACATAACAAAAGCTCTTTAGGATCTCCAAAATTGTTAAGAGAATAATGAGGTCTTGAGACCAAAAGGTTTGAGTACCACTGATGGTATGATCAAGAGATCAATGACAACACATGCATATACACAAAACATACTCTTCCTACCTCTGCCCTGGAAGACTATTACTGCTATTTATATCACAGAAATTTCTAACAGTTCAAACTCTCTAGTGACCAGGAAAGAAAGAAGTCTGGTAGGGGTAAAATTGGGCAGGAAATTAAAGGCAAAGAAATTAAATGCTTCCTTTTCAGTTAGAAGGCTGCCATTCCGATTTGAAGGCAAAATTCAAGATGTTTCAAAATTAACCTCCATGTTTATGCCATAAGCATTAATTTAATGTTTTCACATTCCTCCCAAAGGTCCTTAAAAATTCATACAAAATCCTAAGTCATTTGGAACAAAAGCTAGATTCTCACAGCTTGATATACTTCTTTTCAATGAAAAATTTAAATTATTTCATACTACCTTCATCCTCAAACAGGTAGCTTACCAAAGTTGGTGCCTAATGCAGAAAATCCCATACTCACACACTGAAAAGAAAATGCAAGGCTTACTACGGATAAAAATAGAATTAATTTCGAGTCATAAAGTTTCTCACCATTTCTGAAACTTATAAAGAAAAAATTTTAAGTTCGGCAATCTCAAAGTGGCTAACTTCTCAATCTAAAAGGCAAGAAAATTTTAAAAACAGACTCACTGTATTAGCTCTATTAGCAGTCATTTTACTCTTGGATACACTATTCAAATTGAGAAACAACTCAGTTTAATATGGGAGGAAAGGCTGCATAACTTTAATTTGTTTAATACTGGAAATTCTTTCTTGTCTATCTAAATGTTTTTATAACTCAGTACCAAATTGCAAATGACCGTTTAAGCTTTTAGGAAGGCTCTGGGTTCTCCAGCCCCAGGTTGGCACCTATTACCCAAATTACTTCACTTTTCAGGTATGTTTAGCATTTAATCGTCCTATAATACAAGAAACCTTGCAAGAAAAAAATCACTCCTACTTCAATGCTATTTTTTCATCAGAAGATTTTCATTTAATGCTCCTCTGCCTATTCCTCAGTACGAGCAGTAGTAGTCCAAGAGTGATGTCATGGAAAACAGCTTCCCTAGCCTTTAGAGATTGGATCCAGTGAGAATTCTAGGAAAAGCCTCTATTGGGGAATAAAACCCCAAATCTTCTAAGTTATATCCTAACAAATCATCAACATTATAATGTTAACATTCTAATTCTCTGTAAGAATTATACAATCAAACTAAATCTTTCAGAAGGTCCTGATGTTCTGGTACAGATTTACTGCAAATCTTTAAATGGTGTAAAATCATTAACTAAATTCAATGATTTTATCAGAGACAAAGGAATAAATTTTCTATCTGTTCTTATTTGCTTCAATGATTCAGCCAGATGAACTTTAAAGGCCTTATATTAAAAACAGAGTATCTGAGGAAATACCTTGCCTTTTCTAGTTTCTTCCAAAGTAAAAATTTCTAATTCTGAAAAGGCCTTCCACTTTTGGACCAGTAGCAGTACAACATATACCCACAGCAAAGATGAACCATGAGAGCCCCTCCAACCATTCTTAAGATGGTAATAATAATCATCTCCCATTACTCTCCCCCCTTGTTCACCCTGCCCCAGATACACTGGCCTCTTTTGCTGTTTCTTGGAAACAGTCACACACCCACCTTAAGGCTTCTACACTCGCTGTTCCCTCTGCCTGATCACTACATCCCCAGATATATATGGCTGCCTTCAAGTCTTTACTCCAGTGAGGCCTTCCCCAAACCCCATCTTTTAAAAAAACAAAAAAACCCCCAAAAACCAAAAACCTCACCCGCCCCCACAACCAGAAATCCTCACTTTCCCTTTCTGCTTTATTTTCCTCTATAGTATATTAAAATAGAGATAACAGGCCTTTTTCCTTAATTAGTTTGCTTTTTATGTTTTTTTTTTCTCTTTTCCAGTTTTGCTTTGACTGTTGTATCCCTCACAACCTAGAAATAACAGCACTTGGCACATAATAAGTGCTTAATATTTGTTGGATGAAGAAATAAATTTAATCTTCATAACGCTCCATGTTCTGTAACCATCCCCAATTTAAAGATGAGAAGAATCAAAAGCTCACAGAGGTTAAGGAACTTGCCCAAGGCTATGATTCTTAAGTGGTGGAGTTGGGGTCTGCCCCACTTCAGAGCCTGTGTTTAACCAGTATCCTACAATGCTTCACCAATGACTCTTTCAGTTCTCTTCAATAAAAAACCCCACACCAACTACAGCATTCCAGTTCAGAGAGAATATATGCTAATAAATTAATTCAACCCCTTAAATATTCATTCCTCTCCCAGTTAATGTTATTTACTCTTAAAATATTTAAAACGTGAAGGGCAAGCTGACAACAGGCAAGCTAATTTGGGGGGTCCAAGTGAAATGAAAATTTGGGCCCCCTTATCCCAAAGCAGGAAAAAAATGTTAAAGGTACTAAAATAAAAAGCTCTCTCCTTTCTTCTGTGGTTTCTCTCAACTTGTCATGGTGTTTTTTTATTTGTTGTTTAATGCGTTCTAAGTGAAGAAAAATTAAAAATTTAAATTAGCATGAATTTTACCATTCACCTTTATATTGTACAATGCCAGTTTTACATGCAGATTATTACACCAACTTCAGGGCCCTTCTGAACACCCATGAAGCCAAGCCAGCCCTGGTTCCAAGATTTTAGCCCCAGATAACCCAAATCAAGGCAGAGAGAAGGTCAAACCTTGAAATTCCCAATAAAGCAGTGATTTGCCAAAATTTTATCTTCAGGACAAATGATAAGTCCAGTGTATAAAAGCTAGCACATTAAAACAGGCTCTTCCATTTGCTAATTTAATCATGCCCGCTCATATCTTTCTTTTTACAAAACACAAAAGTATACTCTAAAAAACAACTGGTATTGGGTTATAAAATAAAACATTTCAGAAAAAACTCAGAAAACCATTTGTTGGCTAAAAATAACAATATACTATGATAAATGCTTCTCTTTCACTTTTTGTGGACCATTTTTAAGCCAAACCATACTACATTTTTGATGTACCCAGTAGGAATTATTCCATACTGATCTGTTACACATATATATTAGTTCTGACAAATAATAAATCCAATTTCTCAAGCCACAAATATTTACTCTTCTATTATTCCTAAGTTAAATCAGCAATAGAGTGCAATTCCCACTGAAGAACTGGTTCTAAGCACCTACTAAGTGCTGATGATTTAAAAAGAGATTTATGTTGTATAAACACTATTACATTGTCAAAAAGTTGAAAATTTCTATACATTTTGTTAAGAATTACAGAAATCTGAATGCATTTGTAAGCTCTTAAAAAACAATTTTCAAATTAGCAGATATATTCAGGTATCCTGTTCCCTAGATATGAAAAATACCATTAAAATTAGAGTATATATCTTAAAAGCATTTTCTAAGTTACCATTAAATCAGATAAACAAAAATAAATTCGGAAAATACGTAAGACTAAACATCAAGTGTTAAATAAATATTCCGAGTAAGAAAAAGGGCATAAGCGGCCTAGAAAAATGACAAGCAAAGCACTACAGTAACGTTAAATTTGAATTAAAGAATACCGTTATTTAAATAAGCAGTTAGCATTTCGTAGGAAGGCCAAGCAACGTGACTATTATATATCCAGTCGATTCACAGCACTGCTTCGCTATTCCATACTTATGGCTTATACTTATAATACAGGAAAAAAAAAAAAAAAGAGGCAGCAACAGTTAGCCACTACAACATTAACCACTCTGGCAAGGGTTACTTAAAAAATCGCTTTGCATTTTTACAACACTTTACAGCTATAGGTTATTTTCACGTATATGACCTCATATAGTCCTCACTACCCTGTGATGTGGCTATTACTGCCTAGATTTCATAGATAAGAAACCGATGTTCGGTAAGCGATTTTCTCAGCGTCACCCAGTCGAACCCAGACCTTCTGATTCCACGTTTTATGCCTCGCATTTCGCATAGTTCTATTTCAGGCATAAACAGAATTTTTAAAGGGAAGGAACGGGTAGGAAGAAAATAATCATGGTACCTGCAGCTGTGTGCTGCAAAAAATGGCTGAATTATGCTTCTTCCGTTTTTTTTTCCCCCCTCCTTAAAAAAAATATTTCAAACAATTTAAGTAAACTCAAAGACAAATTAGGTCCCGGCGTCTACCAAATGTTTGACTCGGGTCTGTGCAGAAAACGCTACCGAATCCGTGCCGAGCGCCGGGCCGCGGACGAAGCCCGGGCTCTTACAGGCCGGAGGGCCAGGGGCGGCTACGCACCTCGGGGGTCTGTCCAACCTCTAGTGGACGGCAGTCTGCATCAGGAAGAAGCGGGCCGGCGGGCCGGGCGGTGGGCGGTCGGGCGCCGGGATGGCACTCGGCAGGCTCCTCGAACCTCTACAAGGGGCCGCTCCCGGGCCGGGCCGGGGCGCTCCGGCGGGGGGCGAGTCTGCGCGCCTGCGGGGCCCTCGGAACCAGTCCTGGGAAAGAAGAGAGCACTGAGTCGCGAGTCGAGACAGTCGGGCTCGGCGCAAGGCGGCGCGGCGTCGGGGCCGGGCCCGGCCTTGCCAACGCCAGG